AGAGAGAGAGAGAGAGAACGTCCAAATTTATATCTCCAGCCTAGACCTCTCTTCTGAATTGAAGGCTTATAAATCTAACAGTACCTGCAGTTTCCTCTTGGATGTCTAATAGGTGTCGCAAACGTCACATGTCCCCAACTGAACTACTGATTTTCCTGTTCCACCTGTAATTTCAGTTGACGGCAACTCCTTCCTTCCAACTGCTTAAGCTCCAAACTTAAGTCATCCTTGATGACTCTTCTCTTTCTCTCACACCCCACATCCAATCCGTCAGGAAATTCGGTCGACTCTATTCCAGAGTTTATCTAGGATCTTACCACTTATCATTTCCATTGCTACAACCTGATCCCAGCCACCATCAGGTCTTAATCTGGAAGAGGGCTTTTCAAACCTTCGTGTGTGTAAGAAGCACCTAGGAACCGTGTTGAAACGTAGACTCTGACTCAGCAGGTCTGAGTCAGTCCTGAAATTCTGCATTTCTTCCCCTAGATATCCTCATGGCTCACTCGCCCCTACGATTCCTCATCAGGGAGGCGTGGCCTTCCCCCATCACTCCATCTCGAATAGCACCCTTTCCTGCCACCCCCTTTGCTATTTCCCTTATCCTGATTTAGGCAATTGCTTGTTTGCTTCTTCTGGAAGTTTTAAGTCGCTTATCTTGCCCAAGATCACACAAAGTCACAAGTAGTGAAGCCAGGATTCAGATGCACTCCTCTTACTATTCTTGGCACAGTCACATTCAAAGCATGAAGCAATTACTGAATATTTGAGGAGACTAAGCTTCTAACTTAAAAGTACTTGGTCCTTTTTCCTTTCAAAATCGAGTATATTCAAAATAGGTATACTCTTCAGTAAAAATTATACACCAACTTGCATATCAGGTTAAAATTCTGCATACGCTTATTTACTCACCAAGAAGATTTTACTGTGATGAGAATATTACTTTAGACTTTAGACAGGTGTTTAGTCAAGTTAACAAAAGTTTTTACAATATCTATTTTTTTATGTTTGTTTATTTTTGAGAGGGAGAGAGCACAAGCGGGGCAGGGGCAGAGACAGAGGGAGACAGAAACCAAAGCAGGTTCTGTGCTATCAGCGCAAAGCCTGACGTGGGGTTTGAACCCACAAACCGTGAGATCATGACCTGAGCCGAGATCAAGAGTTGGGTGCCACGCAGGCACCCTAAACCTTTTTAAATACCTTAAGTTAAAGCAAACCATAAGAGAGTCTTAA